TGAGAGCCATCCATAAACTTTATAAGCGTTCTCTGTTACATTCTAGTCATGACTGAAAATATTAAATAGCGCCAGACCCAGAACTGACCCCTGCGAGACTCCACTAGATAATGCTGCACTATCGTTTTTTGACAGCAAACCATTGATAACCGCTCTGAATATGGTCTGTCATCTAGTTGCACGCTCCCCTCATATTAATTAGACCATATTTTCTTAAATTGCATAGGAGATTGTCCTGTGGAATGGTATCAAAAGTGTCATTAAAATCAAGATGTATCACACCTTTCTTTCTATCAACTAGAACAGTAACCCTGGTAGAGTGAAGTTTGGTTGATGTGGTAGGATTTGTTCTTGACAAATTGATAATATATTCCTGTTGTCTGTTCTAGAAATTCCTCATCAGTTCCTCCTTCTCGTGGTCTGTAGTTGATTATTAACATGTCACATTATTTCTCCCCCTTTTATCTTGTAACTGGTTTGAGTCCCACTTCTTCCTGGACCTCCATGTTTTTTGCCATTCCTGTTATTCCTGAGCAAGCTATTCCCCTAAATAGCAATATTTCAGTCATAAGATTTCATTCACATTTCTGTGATGTCAATTAACTTGTCTTGATTACTATATTATGAGTATATAGACAAAGCTCAAGTTTTACAAGATCATGTCACTCAGTACAGGCAGTCCCTGGGTTACGTACAAGATAGGGACTATAGGTTTGTTCTTAAGTTGAATTTGTATGTAAATTGGAACTGGTGTCCAGATTCAGCCGCTGCTGAAACTGATCAGCGGCTGATTACAGGAAGCCCGAGGCAGAGTTGCTCTGCCCTGGGCTTCCTGGAATCAGCCACTGATTGGCCCTCGCAGCAGACTTAGAGGCGGGAAAATCACCCCCAGGTTGAGAGGCACATGCAGTAAATTACTCAATCATAATACTTCCCTGCCTTATTGTACCTAGAAGAATTACTTTAATATCCATAGTCTAGTAGCACCTTAAAGACTAACAAAACACGTATTAGCTTTCATGGGCACAACCCACTTCTTCACAAAGCTCATGATACCACCTACATGGTTTGTTAGTCTTTAAGGTGCTACTAAACTATTTGTTGTTTTTTAAGTTTTTCCTGTTACAGACTAACTCGGCTACCCCTCTGAAGCTTTTTAATATACATTACTTCCTTCACAATGAGACTTATTATTAGTAACATGAGGGGGAGGGGCTCTTGGCCAATGAGATTTCTCAGTATCTTCCACCCCTCCTTGAAGACTTTGGCCTGATTCAGGAAAACAGCACTTGAGCATGTGTTTCAGAATATTCCTGACTGGGGGGAAGTAGAGTTATACGCACGTGTGTAATTATAGGCAGTCCCCGGGTTACATGGATCCGACTTACATCGGATCCCTACTTACAAACGGGGTGAGGCAACCCCGCACTAGCTGCTTCCCCCCAGCAGACCAGGGAGACACGAAGCTAGCGCCTGCCCCCTCAGCAGACCGGGGAGACGCGGAGCAGCTTTTCTCGCCCCAGAGGACGCAGGCGGTGGGACCGCGGCGCATCTGGGCGGTCCTGCCGCCCGCGTCCTTCGGGGCGAGAAAAGCCCTGTTCGTAACTGCGGATCCGACATAAGTCGGATCCGCGTAACTCGGGGACTGCCTGTATTCAGAAAGCTGAACAACTGAGCAGTAATGCTATACTCTCTTGAATACAGTATTCAGTCATATATGGTGTATCAGTCTTTGACAGGATAAACAAACCTTTTTGATAAGGGGGAGTGGTGGACATGGTATATCTAGAACTGAGTAAAGCATTTGATATGGTCTCACATGACCGTCTTATCAATAAACTAGGCAAATACAACCTACATTGAGTTTATAAGGTGGGTGCATACTTGGCTGGATAACTGTTCTCAGAGTAGTTATTAACGGTTCACAATCCTGCTGGAAGGGCTCAACAAGTGGGGTTCTGCAGGTGTCAATTTTGGGATCAGTTCTGTTCAATATCTTTATCAACGATTTAGATATTGGCATACACAGTATGATTATTAAGTTTTGTCGAAGCAAAAACACGGTCCTCTCTGTTTAGGCAGCTAACAAACAGATAGCTTTATTGATCAGTAAAGCAAAGTGAGCCAAACGTGGTCCCAGCAGAGCCTGGCCCAGTAAGGCTGGCTAATACAATCAATCCTAGTATTTTATATCCTTAACCAAACAAGTCTGATGTCAGGACAAGAAATCAAAGTGAACTTCAAAGAGGAATTACTATCAGCAGAGAAAGAAACAGGTTGAAAGTGAGTTCAAGCTTCAGCTCAAAATAGTTCATTAACACATTCCAACAGCGCATCCCTCTGGCCTCTCCCCACCTCGGTGAAGGCCAGTTCACTCCCTCGTGCAGACACAAACTGAAATGGCTTTTGTTATACATAATGGTTTCTAGCTAAATATGAAATGGTTTCTACAGTTTGTAGATACCACCAATCTGGGAGGTGTTGCAAGCGCTTTGGAGGATATAGTCATAATTCAAAATGATCTGGAGAAATGGTCTGAAGTACAGTAAATAGGATGAAGTTTAATAAAGACAAATGCAAAATAATCCGCTTAGGAAGGAACAATTCATTTCATATATACAGAATGGGAAGCAACTGTCTGGGAAGGAGTATTGCTGAAAGGGATCTAGGAGTCATAGTGGACCACAAGCTAAATATGAGCCAGCAGTGTGATACTGCTGCAAAAAAGCCAACATGATTCTGGGTACGTTAACAGGACTGTTGTGAGCAAGACAAGTGAAGTCATTCTTCCGCTCTACTCTGTGCTGATTAGGCCTCGGTTGGAGTATTGTGTCCTGTTCTGGGCACCACATTTCAAGAAAGATGTGATGAAATTGGAGAAGGTCCAGGGAAGAGCAACAAAAATGATTAAAGATCCAGACCTAACCTATGAGGGAAGACCGAAAGAATGGAGCTTGTTTAGTTTATAAAAGAGAATACTTGGAGGGGACATGATAGCAATTTTCAAGTACAGGCAGTCCCCGAGTTACGCGGATCCGACTTATGTCGGATCCGCAGTTACGAACGGGGATTTTCTCGCCCTGGAGGACTGGAGCGGCAGGACGCCTGGTCCCGCCGCCCACCTCCTCCAGGGTGAGAAAAGCTGCTCCCCGTCTCCCTGGTCTGCTGGGGGAGCCAGCAGACCAGGGAGACGGGGAGCAAAGCGGCGGAGGACCCGAGGCCGGACCC